TACTACTACTACTGCTAACCACTACTACTAACCACTACTACTACTACTACAATTACTACTACGACCACTACTACTCCTGCTACGACTACTACTACTACTACTACTACCACTACCACTACTATTACTACTACTACTACTGCTACTAATATTACTACAATGACTAGTACTACCACCACCACTACTACTACTACTACTACTACTACTACTACTACTACTACCTTTGCCGCTACTACTACTACTACTACTACTACTACTTTGCCGCTACTACTACTACTACTCACTACTGCTACTATTACTACTATTACTACTACTATTACTACTACTACTACTACTACTATACTACTACTATTACTACTACTACTATTACTACTGCTACTACTACTACTTAATTACTTTATTAATTAATCAAACAGTAATAATGAATTCAGGTGATTTTATTGCTCAAAAATACAAAGAAAAACAGACGTTCTGACTGTGGTCGAGTTTGGTCTCCATGAAGATAGAAGAGAGGAGAGTTTAATTCATAAATTGTATAATAATTCATAATGTATAATAATTCATAGACTGTTTGTATACAGTCTATGGTTTAATTCCAAACTGTGAAACATTCCAGACCAAGAAATAACATCTCCATGGAGAAAAGCATCTGACAGGCCCTCCACCTGAAAAAGTTACACAATGCACCTTTAATACTGTATTATAACTGCTACCCTATAAATAGAACTGATTTCTGTTTTTCCCTTACTATTTTACTACTATCCATCCATCCATCCATTTTCGTCCGCTTATCCGGGGCTGGGTCGTGGGGGCAGCAGCCTAAGCAGGGACTCCCAGACTTCCTTCACCCCAGACACGTCCTCCAGCTCCTCCGGGGGGACCCCGAGGCGTTCCCAGGCCAGCCGAGAGACATAGTCCCTCCAGCGTGTCCTGGGTCTTCCCTGGGGCCTCCTCCCAGTGGGACATGCCCGGAACACCTCCCGAGGGAGGCGCCCAGGAGGCATCCGGAACAGATGCCTGAGCCACCTCAACTGGCTCCTCTCGACGTGGAGGAGCAGCGGCTCTACTCCGAGCTCCTCCCGTGTGACTGAGGAAACTCATTTCGAGCGCTTGTATCCGCGATCTTGTCCTTTCAGTCACTACCCAGAGCTCATGACCAGAGGTGAGAGTAGGAACAAAGACTGACCAGTAAATCGAGAGCTTCGCCTTTTGACTCAGCTCCTGCTTCTCCACAACGGTCCGATACAGCGACCGCATCACTGCAGAAGCTGCAACGATCCGCCTGTCAGTCTCACGTTCCATCCTCCCCTCACTCGTGAACAAGACCCCGAGATACTTGAACTCCTCCACTTGAGGCAAAGACTCCCCACCCACCCGGAGAGGGCAAGCCACCTTTTTCCGGTCGAGAACCATGGCCTCAGACTTAGAAGAGCTGATCTTCATCCCAGCCGCTTCACACTCGGCTGCAAACCGCCCCAGTGCACATTGCAGGTCCTGGTTCGATGAAGCCAACAGGACAACATCGTCTGCAAACAGCAGAGATGAAATTCTGTGGTCCCCAAACCGAACCGGCCCCTGACTGCGCCTAGAAATTCTGTCCATAAATACAATGAACAAATGGGCAGCCCTGGCGGAGTCCAACATGCACCGGGAACAGGTCTGACTTACTGCCGGCAATGCGAACACAGCTCCTGCTCCGGTCATACAGGGACCGGACAGCCCTTAGCAAAGGGCCCCAGACCCCAGACTCCCGGAGCACCCCCCACAGGACACCACGAGGGACACGGTCGAATGCCTTCTCCAAGTCCACAAAGCACATGTGGACTGGTTGGGCAAACTCCCATGAACCCTCGAGCACCGATGGAGAGTGTCGAGCTGGTCCAGTGTTCCACGGCCAGGACGAAAACCACACTGCTCTTCCTGGATCTGAGGTTCGACTATCGGCCGGGTTCTCCTCTCCAGTCCCTGGCATAGACCTTACCGGGAAGGCTGAGGAGTGTGATCCCCCTATAGTTGGAACACACCCTCCGGTCCCCCTTCTTATACAGAGGGACCACCACCCCGGTTTGCCAGTCCAGAGGTACTGTCCCCGACCGCCACGTGATGTTGAAGAATTTTAAATTTTAAACAATTATTTATCTGTTGGAACGTTACCAAAACACGTAATAATACAATTATTAACATGTAATAAACCGGTCTTTTATTGTTTTAGGGCGGAGTTTATGTGTCCTTGGGCTGACTTTTGTCTCTGGTATATGGCAACCCAGCCCAAACGCGACCTGAGTTCGTACTATGGCACAAGGTAAGCACAAATACGCCTTAAAATCTACTTTATTAGCAAAACATAGCGTTAAACCTTTTGCATTTCGTAATATTTGCATGTGCATAGGGTTGTCATCTCGTGAAAATGTGAAATTGTGTGGTTTTATCATGCTAGTAGGAGTCAAAACACGGCTCTTAAACGTTTGCACATGACGTTTATTTATTATTATTATACGAGTTTGTAATTCACTCAAACCGTTTTTAATGAAGTTATATCCTCATGGTTGTCAATTTAAACGGGTTAAAGTTAGCTGAAACTGGCATGAAATACAATTACTTATAACGAGGAAGTAGCATATTATTGTACACGGGGAGTTTCATTGATTCGGTTTGTGAACTTAGAGCAGAAAATAAACTAATAACGGGTTTGTTGCCACACTCATTTTAATCAGTAATAAAAAAAAAAAAACGAAAATTAATAAAGAGTATTGTATTTTCTGTATTAGGGATATACAATAATTGTTCATACAAAAAAATGTCATTAAAGTCACGAGTGCACAGTGTGATGGGAGAACCTAAAGATTGCTGGTCAGAATGGTGCCAAATGGACTCAGTGTGAAAAATCTGAACATTATCCATAGATTTTGGTGATGTTTTGTTTTTAAAGGGGGTTTTAACTATGGGACAACTTACGCCAAAGTTTTTTTTTTTTAATCATTCATTTTTTTTATTAAGACCAATACACAATATACATTCCATTAAACATACCAGCAGCTGTTGGTTCTTCTTTTTCATATATCCCTGTTTAACCTGACTTCCCTCCTTCTCCTCCCTCACCCCCCTCCGCCCCCTTCCCTCTCTTCTCCTTTCCCTCTCCTCTCCTTCTCCTCTCCTCTCTTCTCCTCTCCTTTTGCACTCCTCTCCTCTCCTTTCCCTCTCCTCTCCTTCTCCTCTCCTTTCCTCTCCTTTCCTTCTCCTCTCCGTTCCTCTCCTTTCCTACTCCTCTCCTTTCCTTCTCCTCTCCTTTCCCTCTCCTCTCCGTTCCTCTCCTTTCCTTCTCCTTTCCCTCTCCTCTCCTTTCCTCTCCTTTCCTACTCCTCTCCTTTCCTTCTCCTCTCCTCTCCTTTCCCTCTCCTCTCTTCTCCTCTCCTTTTGCACTCCTCTCCTTTCCTCTCCTTTCCTTCTCCTCTCCTTTCCTTCTCCTTTCCCTCTCCTCTCCTTTCCTTCTCCTCTCCTTTCCTTTCCTTTCCCTCTCCTCTCCTTTCCTTCTCCTCTCCTCCCCTCCCTCCATCTCATAAAGTTATTCTTGTTATTAAATATTTAACTATGTATTTACTACATTATTTCAAAATTTTGGAAAGTTATAACAAAATATTGCATGTTAAAAAAATGACTTGTGACTATGAAAAATGTTTTTCTGGACAAACCTCGGGCAAACAAAGATCAGATGAGTTCAAATTCAGGACAGAAGTGCCCAAAAACACACACACAAATCTGCTCTTTCACCTTTGTGATTGAACTTTGTTTTTTGAAAAAAAGACAGTGTACCAATTTACCCAGCATGACAACAGGCCCTGGTCTCCTCCACTCTACTTTTACTTTGTTATGTTCCACCACTGCTGATAATTAATGAATTGTACTTTTTATCACAACACAGGACTGTTTGTGCATGTATCAGTAATATATAACAGTGTAAAAGAAATTTTTACTTGAGTCAAAGTGTTTCCTCTTCTCACTGTGAATCTAAAGTGACAAAAGCTTTATGTGACAATATGAAATTATTTGAACATTTGTGTTTCTTGCAGCATCTTCAGTTTTTGTTTTATTTTTTTATTTAGTTTTAGGAGTGACTTTTAAAAACATGTTAATATTCTGTTGCACATAAATATAACACAGAGTTGATACACAAGGAATGGAATAGGTCAGTGGCAGTGATATCACACTGGGGGTATTCTACATGGATCTCTATGGTGGAAAGTTCAGCAGTTACCATGGTGACACAAGACACACATGAGCAAAAACTGCCACAAATGTTTTAAAATGGTCTAAAAACTCAAGAATAAAATACAAAATGGATTTAAAGAGCACATTTTCAGGAGCCTGTGGTCAGTCCGAGCATTCATGGTCCAATTTAAGAGTCTGTTTTTTAACAAATAAAGAGTGACTAACTAAAACTGCTGGCTAGTGTGTGTGACTGACTGTTATTTTATGTGTGAGAGATTTATTTACCAGGACAAATCGGTTCACCTGTTGTACTTTTAGGTACAGCAGGTGTTGTACTTTTTTGTTTGCGAACAAACAAAAGATTAAAGTCTAATTTGAGTAACTGAGTTGTAGTATTTTATCATCGCCAACTAACACAGCTTATCTATTTTTGTCACTCATTCACACTGGTCGGGTCAATTTTTAACAGCATTTTTACTTTGTAATGTCGGCTTTTTCAGGCCGAGTTGAGATGAGGTCCCTGCGGGTCTCTCCTCTGGCCCTGGTCCAAGTCCTGGTCTTAGTCCTGGTCTTGGATCTAAACCTGGTCTGGAGTCTGGACACACAAAGACCAAACTTTGTCCTGATGATGGTGGACGACCTCGGGATCGGAGACCTGGGCTGCTATGGCAACAAGACACTCAAGTAAATATAGACCTGGTTTAATCACATTTTTGACCAGTTTAGTCCAGGTTTAGTTCTGTTTTAATCCAGTTTTAGTCCTGGTTTAGTTCTTGTTAATTGTTGTTTTTGTCCCAGACCATTTATAACACTGGTTTAGTCCTGGTTCAGTCCTGATTTAGCCCTGATTTAGTCTTGGTTTAGTCTTGGTTTAGCTCTGGTTTAGTGCTGGTTTTTGTCCTGGTTTAGTCCTGGTTTAGTCTTGGTTTAACTCTGGTTTAGTCCTGATTTAGTCTCGGTTTAGCTTTGTTTTAGTCCCGGTTTAGTGATGGTTTAGTCCTGGTTTAGTCCTTGTTTAGTCCTGGTTTAGTGCTGGTTTAGTCCTGGTTTAGTGCTGGTTTAGTCCTGGATTAGTGCTGGTTTAGTCTTGGTTTAGTCCTGGTTTGCTTTTTTCCTTCAGGACTCCTCACGTGGACAGTCTGGCCTCAGATGGGGTGAAGTTGACTCATCACATCGCCGCGGCTCCTCTCTGTACCCCGAGTCGAGCCGCTTTCCTCACGGGACGATACCCCATACGAACAGGTACACGTGTAAAGCTGCACTGTGTAACTTTTCTGGTGGAGGGAATGGCAGTCCTGACGTTTACGCCGACGTCAGCTCCCGTTGGGCACCACGGTTTTTCTAACACGGAAGTAATAGTTGTTTTAGATGAATTTTGTGATTTAAAATGTCCAAATTATGACGTAATGATCCACGTTTGTCATAGATTATAAATATAGAGCCACTAAAGAGTCCTGGTTTAGTTCTGGTTTAGTCCCTAGTTCAGTCCTGTTTAGTTCTAGTTTAGTCCTGGTTTAGTCCTGATTCAGTCCTGGTTTAGACCTGGTTCATTTATGATTCAGTCCTGGTTTAGTCCTGGCTCAGTCCTGGTTTAGTCCTGGCTCAGTCCTGGTTTAGTCCTGGTTCAGTCCTGGTTTAGTCCTGATTCAGTCCTGGTTTAGACCTGGTTTATTACTGGTTCAGTCCTGATTCAGTCCTGGTTGAATCTCGGTTCATTCTGGATTCAGTCCTGGTTTAGTCCTGGCTCAGTCCTGGTTTAGTCCTGGTTTAGTCCTGATTCAGTCCTGGCTCAGTCCTGGTTCAGTCCTGGCTCAGTCCTGGTTGAGTCCAGGTTTAGTCCTAGTTTAGTCCTGGGTCAGTCCTGGTTTATTATTGGTTCATTCCTGTCTCAGTCCTGGTTTAGTCCTGGTTCATTCTTGATTCAGTCCTAGCTCAGTCCTGGCTCAATCCTGGTTCAGTCCTGGCTCAGTCCTAGTTCAGTCCTGGTTCAGTCCTGGTTCAGTCCTGGCTCAGTCCTAGTTCAGTCCTGGTTCAGTCCTGGTTCAGTCCTGGCTCAGTCCTAGTTCAGTCCTGGTTCAGTCTTGATTCAGTTCTGGTTCAGTCCTGGTTCAGTCCTAGTTCAGTCCTGGTTCAGTCCTGGTTCAGTCCCTGTTCAGTCCCGGTTCAGTCCTGGTTCAGTCCCTGTTCAGTCCCGGTTCAGTCCCAGTTCAGTCCTGGTTCAGTCCCGGTTCAGTCCTGGTTCAGTTCCTGGTTCAGTCCTGGTTCAGTCCTGGCTCAGTCCTGGTTCAGTCCTGGTTCAGTCCTGGTTCAGTCCTGGTTCAGTCTTGGTCTCTCTTCAGGTATGATGGGTGGAGCGTTCGTCTTTAACGCTGCCTCTGGAGGACTTCCTCAGTCTGAACTCACCTTCGCCTCCATCGCACAAGAGCAGGGCTACGAGACCGCGCTCATCGGTGAGTACTACTACTACTACTACTACTACTACTACTACTACTACTACTACTACTACTACTACTACTACTCATCATCGAACTCTAACACTGAGCGCTTTGGGAAACTGTGGACAGAAGAGTGAGATGTGGTCCCATGTGTCAGGTGCGTCAGGTGTGTCAGGTGTAAGTGTGCAGACTGAGTAGAAGGTCCCAAAAAATCCTGCTGGCGCCCCTGACTGCTGCTAGTACTGCTTTACTTATTGTTTATTGTGTGGACTCTGTGAAACACTTTGTGGTTTTTATCTGTGAAAAATAATGGAAGTATTAAACAACGAGGCGTTACGCAGTTTTAAATCACGACGTGTGTAAAAACTGCAGAAGGTACAGCTCCTTTTTAGGATTGGTTCCTGCTCAAATGAGTATCTAGTTTCTGTACTAGTTTTTATATCATCAGATGAATAAAAGAGGTAGAGCGATTCACTGGGTCATAAAAAAATACAAAACAGCAGTACAGGTGCTTTACGAGAAATCTTAACAGAATGTTGCTCCTACTGAAAAATGTAAAAGTGGGTGAGGTACAAACCCGAGGCACTCGGACTGAATGTATTAAAAGTCCTTTATTACATGAAGGGACGCCAGCGCATTTCGACCAACAGAATGGTCTTCATCAGGGCAAAATGGTAGAACGTGACACATGAACCATTAAATACAATTACATATCGATCACATGACCACATCACATGACTATAAGAAAAAGAGCCGAGCCAGGGACCGGTACCGGGTCGTGAAAGCGCGGACCCTCCATCCCATGTGCCGCGTGGACCGTCCCCCATCCCAAACGTCGCACGGAACGTCCCCCCCATCCTGTACACCTCTCGGAACATCCCCCATCCCGTCCCTCCATCCCGTTTGTGGACCGTCCCTCCATCCCGTTTGTGGACCGTCCCTCCATCCCGTTTATGGACCGTCCCTCCATCCCGTTTATGGACCGTCCCTCCATCCCATTTGAAGCGTGGATCATCCCTCCATCCGATTAGAAGCGTGGACCATCCCTCCATCCCGTAGGCAGACTGTCCCTCCATCCCATATACCGCGCGGAACATCCCCCATCCCGTACGCCGCGTGGACCGTCCCCCCATCCCGTACACGGCAAGGAACGTCCTCCTCATCCCGTATGCCGCGTGTACCGTGCTTCCATCCCGTACGCTGCGTGGAACTTCCCCCTATCCCGTACGCGGACCGTCCCTCCTTCCCGTAGGCCGCGTGGAATGTCCCTCCATCCCATACGCCACACGGAACATCCCCCCATCCCGTTTGTGGACCGTCCCTCCATCCCGTACGTCGCATGGACCGTCCCTCCATCCCCATTCGAAGCGAGGACCATCCCTCCATCCCGTACGCAGACCATCCCTCCATCCCATATAACGTCCCCCATCCCTTACGCGGAGTGTCCCTCCATCCCGTACGCCACGTAGACCATCCCTCCATCTCATATACCGCGCGGAACGTCCCCCATCCCTTACGAGGAGTGTCCCTCCATCCCGTACGCCACGTAGACCATCCCTCCGTCCCGTACGCCACGTAGACCATCCCTCCGTCCCGTACACCACGTAGACCATCCCTCCGTCCCGTACGCCACGTAGACCATCCTTCCATCCCGTACGCCACGTAGACCATCCCTCCATCCCGTACACCGCGTAGACCATCCTTCCATCCCGTACGCCACGTAGACCATCCCTCCATCCCGTACGCCACGTAGACCATCCTTCCATCCCGTACGCCACGTAGACCATCCCTCCATCCCGTACACCACGTAGACCATCCTTCCATCCTGTACACCGTGTAGACCATCCCTCCATCCCGTACACCACGTAGACCATCCTTCCATCCTGTACACCGTGTAGACCATCCCTCCCTCCCGTACACCACGTAGACCATCCTTCCATTTCGTACGCCACGTAGACCATCCCTCCATCCCGTACACCGTGTAGACCATCCTTCCATCCTGTACACCGTGTAGACCATCCCTCCCTCCCGTACACCACGTAGACCATCCTTCCATTTCGTACGCCACGTAGACCATCCCTCCATCCCGTACACCGTGTAGACCATCCTTCCATCCCGTACACCACGTAGACCATCCCTCCATCCCGTACGCCACGTAGACCATCCTTCCATTCCGTACGCCACGTAGACCATCCCTCCATCCCGTACACCACGTAGACCATCCTTCCATCCTGTACACCGTGTAGACCATCCCTCCATCCCGTACACCACGTAGACCATCCCTCCATCCCGTACACCGTGTAGACCATCCCTCCATCCCGTACGCCACGTAGACCATCCTTCCATCCCGTACGCCACGTAGACCATCCCTCCATCCCGTACGCCACGTAGACCATCCTTCCATCCCGTACGCCACGTAGACCATCCCTCCATCCCGTACACCACGTAGACCATCCTTCCATCCTGTACACCGTGTAGACCATCCCTCCATCCCGTACACCACGTAGACCATCCCTCCATCCTGTACACCGTGTAGACCATCCCTCCATCCCGTACACCACGTAGACCATCCCTCCATCCTGTACACCGTGTAGACCATCCCTCCATCCCGTACGCCACGTAGACCATCCCTCCATCCCGTACACCGCGTGAACGTCCCTTCATCTCATACGCGGCGAGGAACGTTCCCATATCCTGTATGCGGATCGTCCCCCCCATCCCGAACGCCATGCGCCCCCAATCCCCTCCGGTCCTCGAAATATTGTTGGATATAAAACCGGTCCTTGGTGCAAAAAAGGTTAGGGACGACTGATCTACAGTAAAGAATTGCCAATAAAGTTAAGTTTCAGAGGAACACTGAATAATCCAAATGTTCATTATACGGTTACAATCCAGAAGGTTTCTTTTTTAGACAATTGACGGAGTCTGTCGAACCCTCTGTTGTTTGGAGAGTTTTTACATTGTTTAATATCTGATTTTCGATTTCTTTGACGTAACTAATTTCTTATATTTTTCAGGTAAATGGCACTTGGGTCTGAACTGCGAGTCGAGCTCTGATCACTGTCACCATCCGAACAAACACGGATTTAAATACTTTTACGGATCTCCCATGACAAACCTTCGTGACTGTCGCCCGGGACACGGCACCGTTTTCCAATTCCAGAAATATTTACCCATAAAAACCGCAGTTACCATTTTAATCGCTACCATTATTGTTTACTACTTTGGGCTACTTCCCGTGCCGAGATTCCTGGTGGTCGGAGCGTCGTGGTTGGCGGTCCTGATCGCGTGTTTGGTCGCGGTGTTCCTGTTCGCTGTCCCGTATATGAACTGTATTTTGATGAGAAATGGGGAAATAGTGGAGCAGCCGTTTTCGACCCTGAATTTGACCCAGCGGATGACCCGGGAGGCGGTGGACTTCATGGAGAGGTGAGGGAGTTTTTACTAACTGGAGGCAATGCTCTGTCTGAAGCTAGTCCTGTTTTAAACCTGATTTAGACCAGATTTAGACCTGGTTTAGACCTGGTTTAGTCCTAATTTAGACCTGGTTTAGTCCTGGTTTAGACCTGGTTTAGACCTGGTATAGACCTGGTTTAGTCCTAGTTTAGACCTGGTTTAGTCCTGGTTTAGTCCTGGCTTAGTCCTGGTTTAGTCCTGGTTTAGTCCTGCTTTAGATTTGGTTTAGACCTGGTTCAGATTTGCTTTAGTCCTGATTTAGATCGGGTTTAGATCTGGTTTAGTCTTGTTTTAGACCTGACTAAGACCTTATTTGGACCTGGTTTAGAACTGGTTTAGTCCTGTTTCAGTTCTGGTTTAGACCTTGGTTAGACCTTATTTAGTCCTGGTTTATACCTGGTTCAGATGTGGTTTAGTCCTGTTTCAGAACTGATTGAGACCTGATTTGGACCTGGTTTAGACCTGGTTTAGTCTTGATTCAGTCCTGGTTTAGTCATGGTTTAGACCTGGTTTAGACCGGGTTTAGATCTGGTTTAGTCCAGTTTTAAACCTGTTGTAGACCTGATTGAGACCTGATTTAGACCTGGTTTAGTCTTAGTTTTGTCCTGGTTCAGACCTGATTTAGATCTGATTTAGAACTGGTTTAGTCCTGGCTCAGGTCTGGTTTAGACCTTGTTTAGACCTTATTTAATCTTGGTTTAGACCTGGTTTGAATCTGGTTTAGACCTGACTAAGACCTGATTTGGACCTGGTTTAGATCTGCTTTAGTCCAGTCCTCGTTTAGTCCTAGTTTAGACCTGGTTTAGTTTTGGTTTAGTCATGGTTTAGACCTGACTAAGACCTGATTTGGACCTGGTTTACACCTGGTTTAGTCCAGTCCTGGTTTAGTAATGGTTTAGTTCTGGTTTAGTCCTGGTTCAGTCCTGGTTTAGATCTAGTTTAGTCCTGTTTTAAACCTGTTCTAGACCTAATTGAGACCAGGACTAAAACAGGACTAAAACCAGGACTAAAACTAGGTCTAAACCAGGATTTAACCGGGTAGGCTCACATTCACCCAATTTGAAAACCCCTGACCTAAAAAAAATGTCCAAACTTTTATTAAAAATCTTGATGTTTTTGTGTTTTTGTCGGCAGGAGTTCTGGGAGGCCGTTCCTTCTCTTCGTCTCTTATCTCCAGGTCCACACGGCGCTCTTCGCCTCGTCAGATTTCCGGGGCTCCAGTGCTCACGGTATCTATGGCGACGCGGTACAGGAAGTGGACTGGAGCGTGGGTGAGTCTGGGCTAAATCTGAGGGGCCCGTCTGTGCGGGGTTTGCATGTTCTCCCCGTGTCTTTTCCTCATCAGCCCAAAACAAAACAGGTCAATTATGTTTGGCTAATTAAAATAAAAACGTGTAAAATTTAAAAACCTGATGGAATCCAGGTTTGAGTCCAGGGTACAACGTGGTCCTGGTCTAGATCTGGTTTTGTCCTGGTTTAGTCCTGATTTAGACCAGGTTTAGATTTGGTTTAGTCCTGTTTTAGACCTGATTGAGACCCGGTATAGATTGGGTTTAGTCCTAGTTTAGACCTGGTTTAGTTCTGGTTTAGACCTGGATCAGATCTGGTTTAGTCCTGGTTGAGACCTGGTTTAGACCTGACTGAGACCTGATTTGGACCTGGTTTAGACCTGGTATAGACCGGGTTTAGTCCTAGTTTAGACCTGGTTTAGTTCTGGTTTAATTCTGATTTAGTTCTGGTTTAGTCTTTGTTTAGTCCTGGTTTAGTTCTGGTTTAGTCCTGGTTTAGACCTGGTTTAGTTCTGGTTCAGTCCTGGTTTACACCTGATTTAGACCTTGTTTAGACCTGGTTTAGACCTGGTTCAGACCTAATTTCTTCCATATCTTCCTTAAATTCCCCTGAAACTCTTTTAATTAAACGTCCTTCCAGTAAAAGTCGATCGATGCTTCGTCCCATAACTGTTCTGTTCATCGACTCGGCCGCAGACGCTCGTCTCTTAAACAGGTCTAAATAAGAGCATTAGCCGTTAGCTGTTAGCGACAGGGGGTTGTAAACACGTTGACCTTTGCCCTTTGTAGTCCTGTGAGGCTCTGACAGGACTACAGATCGATGCCTCCATTACTTTAATTAATTCTGCTTTTGTTGTTAAGTGAGTGGGATTTCCCCATAGACGAAACGGCTGCAGGCAAAACCAGACCAGAAATACAAATGTTAAAGTGAACGACTGAAACAAACACAAACAAATAAATATACAAGTGTTTCATATTTAACGGGGCTCATTTTACACTGTTCTCTGATCTGTGTTTTACTGTTGTTAACTCATCACAAACTAGGGTGACCATATTTCCGTTTGTAAAACCCGAACACCTTACTGGAGGTAGTGGGGGGTGGGGCCTCAACATTGAGCTACTCTCAGCTCACAAAGCTGCGCCTGTTTTGTACACTGTGCACATGACCTCCCACTTGTCCCGACCAGGTCGGAAAACAGGGAATTTCTTGTGCATGTTATTGTTAAATGTGCATTTGTGCTTTGGCATGTTGCAGACTGACTGACTGTTTGTTTCTGCTCGCTCCTTCTGAGTCACAGACGCTACGAGAGATGCTGAATTTAATGTCCCAATGAAAGGAAATGAAAACCCGGACATTTCCATCACTTAAAAAAAAAAAAAAATCCTGGACGGCCAGGATAGGACTCGAAAAACGGACATGTCCGGGGAAAAACTGACTTTTGGTGTCACCCTATCACAAACATACCTGGAGTGTTTTGTTTCATTCACACGTTTAACACACAAACTGTGCAGATTTCAGGGTTCCCATGGTGATGGAATCCTGGAAAACCATGGAAATTGAAAATGTAATTTCCCAGGCCTGGAAAAGTCATGGGATTTTAGTATCTCTTTCATCTACAGCGTTCTGTTAAGTTCTCATTAGGTTATCAGGATTATTTCCAAACCCCTGCGACAGTAAATGCACTGACAGAATTTTGAATGTTAAAAATCTATAATCCCAAACCATAAGGTGAGTGGAAAGAGTTAACATTTCATATTTAGCCCTAAAAGTCTGATCAATTCTACACATGAAGGTGCTGTAAAGTCATGGAAAATTCAGTTTAGGTCATGAAAAAGTCATGGAAAATTTTTGAAATTTTGTCAATGAAAAAGAGTGGGAACCCTGATACTGACTTACAAGGGACAACAGTTCAGTTTTCTCAAGTTTCAATGTGTATTTCAATACATGGGTCACAATATTGATTCAGTATGTTATGAGTCGGAGAAAAATAATTATTCTTATATTACATAGAATCTAATGTTACATAGAACTGTCTCAACGGACCAGGACAGAGACCGAGAAACAGATGGTGTTTATACGAGCGCATTTGATTAATGTTGTGTAAAATTAAACCAAAAGTGTTTTTAGGGCATTTAAAACTTCATATTTCTGTCATTTCTGGGTAATCCGTGTATCATTCGTTCATTTGGTTTTCAAAATAAAACCAAAAATAAGAAAAAAAATTAAAAATCAATATTTTCGGATAACGACCGTTTCCCGTTTCTGTGACTTAACTGTGATGCCGGACTGAACCAGGACTGAACCAGGACTGAACCAGGACTGAACCAGGTCTAAACCAGGACTGAACCAGGACTGAACCAGGACTGAACCAGGACTAAACCAGGACTGAACCAGGACTGAACCAGGACTAAACCAGGACTGAACCAGGAGTGTTGGGACGGGTCCGGAGGTTCGCCCACATAGACTGTCGGGTGATCAGGACTGAGACCGGGACTAAGACCGGAACCAGACTGGGACCAGACTGGAACCAGACCAGGACTGAGACCAGGACTGAGATCAGGACCAGACCGGGACCAGACCGAGACCAGACCAGGACTGAGACCAGGACTGAGACAGGAATCAGACTGGGACCAGACCGGGACCAGGCCAGGACTGAGACTGGGACCTGGTTTTGTCCTGGTTCAGTTCTGGATTAGTCCTGTTTTAGTCCTAGGATCAGTCCTGGTTCATTCCCGGTCTGGTCCTGGTCTCAGTTCTGATCACAGCACAAACACAAAATCAAAAACTGAAAAAGAGAATCTTTATCTGTTTTTTCATTTTGGTTTTGGAGACAAATAATGAAGAAAATGTTTGTTTTTTCATTTTCTTATTTTTGGTTTTATTTTGAAAAATGACTGAATGAGTCATACACAGATTCTGGGTCTATCAATGTAAAATAAAAAGTGAGTGAAAGATAAAACCCTCCTCTGTTACAAAATAATATTTCATCTGAAAGCCTCTTTGGAGCTGGTTACTCAAAAACAATATAATAGTTAATTAATAGTTTTACAAAAAGTGAACGCTTTGGTCAATAATCATTAATAATCAAAACTCATCTACTACATCTTCACTAGAATCATTTGGATTTTTCTTTCCTGGAATTTCCCATCTCTGCTGAACAAAAGGTAAAAGGAGCTGTGGAAAACGACCACTACATGACATCACAAGGTGGAATAGAGCATTTTAAGCTTTGGAGAATGAAACAAAACACAACTCCAGGTCGGTTTTTGATGAGGAAACGTAAAGCACACAAGAGTAGATTTTGTGTAATATAGGACCTAAAAAAATCATCTTTAAAGTGTATAAATTAGGTCTGGTCGGGTTTGGTTGTTATAATGTCGTGTTCTGATCTCAGGTCAGATCCTTCAGACTCTGGAGCGTTTGGGGCTGAGTCAGAACACTGTGGTGTATCTGACCTCAGATCAGGGAGCTCACCTGGAGGAAGTGTCTGCCACAGGAGAGAGACACGGCGGCTCCAACGGCATCTACAAGGGTAAGACTCGAGTTTAGACCTGGTTTAGTCCTGGTTTAGTCCTGATTTAGGCCTGGGTTAGTCCTGGTTTAGTCCTGTTTTAGACCTGGTTTAGTCCTTGTTTAGTTCTGTTTTAGTCATGAGTTAGTCCTGGTTTACTTATAAGTTAGTCTTTGTTTAGTCCTTAGTTACTCCTGGTTTAGTCCTGGTTTAGTCTTGTTTTAGTTCTGGTTTAGTCCTGTTTTAGTTCTGGTTTAGTTCTAGTATAATTCTGGTTTAGTCCTCGTTTAGTCTTGTTTTAGTTCTGGTTTAGTCCTGTTTTAGTTCTGGTTTAGTTCTAGTATAATTCTGGTTTAGTCCTCGTTTAGTCTCGTTTTAGTTCTGGTTTAGTCCTGGTTTAGTCCTGGTGTAGTCATGAGTTAGTCCTGGTTTAGACCTTGTTTAATTCTGCTTTAGTCCTGGTTTAGTCTTCAGTTAGTCCTGAATTAGCCCTGGTTTAGACCGAGTTAGTTGTGGTTTAGGCCGGGTTTAGACCAGATTTAATTCAGACCTGGTTTAATCCTGGTCTAGTTCTGGGTTCGTTCCTTGTTTATTGGTTTTTGATTTGACATGGTTTTGGTTTAGTCCCTGGTTTAATCCTAGTTTCATTCCTGGTTTAGTCCTGGTTTAGTCCTGGCATATCCCTAGTTTAGACGTGGTTTAGTCCTGGTTCAGCCCTATAGTTTAGTCCTGGTTTAGTCCTGGTTTAGTCCTGCGGTCAGTTCACATTTTAACCAGACGAATCGACATAAAGTCTGAAATCTGAAGTGACAAACTAAAACACGAACCATATTTTTTCAGAACACGTTTGTACAGATCCAAACTAGAGGCTGAGCAGTTTTTACGCAGAATCAGACAGAGATGTTGTTGTTTGTGGAGGAAATTAAAACCGTGTCATTGAGATCTGCTAATTGGTCCATTAAAATTCCATTCTGTTCAACGACGATGAATCTCGCAGCGCTAATGTCCCAAAGTGAGCTGCAAAGTGGGCGTGTTATTGTAATGTTATCGTTATCGTGTCATTCTGCGTAAAAACTGCTCAGCCTCTAGTTTAGATCTGTACAAACATCTGAAAAAATGTCATTTGTGTTTTAGTTTGTCACTTCAGATTTCAGACTTTTTGTCGATTCTTCTCGACGTGTTTAAAGCGTGAACTTTGAACAGAATCGATGGTCACGGTTTTTACCAAATCGTTAAGACCTGGTGTCGTTTCTGCGCTTTTAAATGCTGTTGGACTAAACCAGGACTAAACCAGGACTGAACCAGGACTAAACCAGGTCTAAACCAGGTCTAAACCAGGTCTAAATCAGGTCTAAACCAGGACTGGACTAGGACTGCAAATGGACTAAACCAAAGCCATAGCAAACCAGGAAGGAACTAAAACCAATAAACAAGGACCAAACCCAGAATTAGACCAGGAATTTACTGGGACTAAACCAGGACTAAACCAGGACTAAATCAGGACTAAATCAGGACTAGACTGGGACTGCAGATGGACTAAACCAAAGCCGTGCCAAACCAGGCAAAACTAAAACCAGTAAGCAAGGACCAAACCCAGAACTAAACCAGGACTAAACCAGGACTAAACCAGGGCTACACCAGAACTAAACCAGGACAAAACCAGGACTAAATCAGGACTAAACCAGGGCTAAACCAGGAATATACCAGAACTAAACCAGGACTGAAACCAGAACTAAACCTGGACTAAACCAGAACTAAACCTGGACTAAACCAGGACAAAACCAGAACTACATGCTGAACATTCCACCATAGACATACATGCGGTCGTAACCTGTCTGCGTTTTCTCCCGTGCAGCCGGGAAAGCCACAAACTTCGAGGGAGGGATCCGGGTCCCGGGTCTGATCCGATGGCCCGGAAAAATCCCCAAAGGACTCGAGATCCATGAACCCACCAGCAACATGGACCTGTTCCCCACCGTGGTGCAGCTGAGCGGAGGGCAGCTGCCACAGGACAGGTAGACCGGGTTTAGACCGGGTTTAGTCATGGTTCTGAGCTGGTTTAGTTCTGATTTAGTCCTGGTTTAGTTCTGATTTAGTCCTGGTTTAGTTCTGGTTTTGACCTGGCTTAGTCCTTTATTAGTCCTGCTTTAACCCTGTTATAGTCTTGGTTTAGTCTTGGTTTACTCCTGGTTGTTTAGTCCCAGTTTAGACCTGGTCCAGTCTTAGTTTAGTCCTTGTTTAGTTCCAGGTTTAGTCGTGGTTTAGTCCTGTTATAGTCTTGGTTCAGTCTTGTTGGTTGAATCCTATTTTTTAGTCCTGGTTCAATCCTGATTCAGTCCTGGTTTAGTTCCGGGTTTAGTCCTGGTTTAGTCCTGGTTTAGTTCCAGGTTTAGTCCTGGTTCAGTCTTAGTTCAGTCTTGGTGTAGTCCTGGTTTAGTCCTGGTTCAGTCATAGTTCAGTCCTGGTTCAGTCCTTGTTCAGTCCTGGTTTAGTCCTGGTTCAGTCCTGGTGTAGTCCTGGTTCAGTCCTGGTTTAGTCTTGGTTCAGTCTTGGTTCAGGCCTGGTTTTGCCCTGGTTCAGTCCTGGTTCAGTCCTGGTTCAGTCCTGGTTTAGTCTTGGTTCAGTCTTGGTTCAGTCCTGGTTTAGTCCTGGTTCAGTCCTGGTTTAGTCCTGGCTTAGACCTGGCTCAGTCCTGGTTTAGTCCTGGTTTAGTCCTGGTTCAGTCCTGGTTCAGTCCTGGTTCAGTCCTGGTTTAGTCCTGGTCTAGTCCTGGTTCAGTCTTAGTTCAGTCTTGGTTCAGTCCTGGTTTAGGTCTGGTTCAGTCCTGGTTTAGTCTTGGTTCAGTCTTGGTTCAGTCCTGGTTTAGTCCTGGTTCGGTCCTGGTTCAGTCCTGGTGTAGTCCTGGTTTAGTCCTGGTTTTGCCCTGGTTCAGTCCTGGTTCAGTCCTGGTGTAGTCCTGGTTCAGTCCTGGTGTAGTCCTGGTGGTTTAGTCCTGGTTCAGTCCTGGTTCAGTCCTGGTTCCTGGTTCAGTCCTGGTTCAGTCCTGGTTTAGTCCTGGTTCAGTCCTGGTGTAGTCCTGGTTCAGTCCTGGTTTCAGTCCTGGTTCAGTCCTGGTTTAGTCCTGGTTTCAGTCCTGGTTAGTCCTGGTTCAGTCCTGGTTCAGTCCTGGTTCAGTCCTGGTTCAGTCCTGGTGTAGTCCTGGTTCAGTCCTGGTTCAGTCCTGGTTCCTGGTTCAGTCCTGGTTCAGTCCTGGTTTAGACCCTGTGTCCCTGTGTTCTTGTTTCAGAGTCATAGATGGGCGCCCCCTGCTGGACTTGTTGTCGGGCACGTCTCAGAGTTCAGATCACGAGTTCATGTTTCACTACTGTCGCTCGTCGCTGCAGGCCGTCCGCTGGAGACCCAAACACCGTGAGTTTATTTTACTCTCTGAAAAACACGAAACACAGGACGAGCTGCTTGTTTCCATGGATACATCACTGCTCTGCCTAGAATATTCCACAGTGTGACTTTAAACAGCTCTACTTTACATTTATTCAATTACAGGTGGATTTACACTAATGGAAACAACCAGGACTAAACCAGGACTAAACCAGGACTGAACCAGGACTGAACCAGGACTGAACCAGGACTAAACCAGGACTAAACCAGGATGAACCAGGACTAAACCAGGACTAAACCAGGACTAAACCAGGATTAAACCAGGACTAAACCAGGACTGAACCAGGACTAAACCAGGACTGAACCAGGACTAAACCAGGACTGAACCAGGACTGAACCAGGACTGAACCAGGACTAAACCAGGACTGAACCAGGACTGAACCAGGATTAAACCAGGACTAAACCAGGATTAAACCAGGATTAAACCAGGACTGAACCAGGACTAAACCAGGACTGAACCAGGACTGAACCAGGACTAAACCAGGATTAAACCAGGACTGAACCAGGACTAAGCCAGGTCTAAACCAGGTCTAAACTAGGACTAAACCAGGACTAAACCAGGATTAAACCAGGACTGAACCAGGATTAAACCAGGACTGAACCAGGACTAAACCAGGACTGAACCAGGACTGAACCAGGACTAAACCAGGATTAAACCAGGACTGAACCAGGACTAAGCCAGGTCTAAACCAGGTCTAAACTAGGACTAAACCAGGACTAAACCAGGATTAAACCAGGACTGAACCAGGACTAAACCAGGACTGAACCAGGACTGAACCAGGACTGAACCAGGACTAAACCAGGACTAAACCAGGATTAAACCAGGACTGAACCAGGACTAAACCAGGACTAAACCAGGACTAAACCAGGACTGAAACCAGGACTGAACCAGGACTGAACCAGGACTAAACCAGGATTAAACCAGGACTGAACCAGGACTAAGCCAGGTCTAAACCAGGTCTAAACTAGGACTAAACCAGGACTGAACCAGGACTAAGAAAAGTCTAAAACAGGTCTGAACTAAGACTAAACCAGGACTAAACCAGGTTTAAACCAAGACTATAACAGGACTGAACCAGGACTAGACTAGGACTGTAGATGGAATAAACCAAAACAAAACTAAAACCAGTAAACAAAGACCAAACCCAGAACTAAACCAGGACTATACTGAGACTAAACCAGGACTAAATCAGAATTAAACCAGAACTAAACCAGGACTAAACTATAGGACTGAAACAGGTATAAACCAGGACTACACCAGGACTAAACCAGAACTAAACCAGGTCTAAACTAGGACTAAACCAGGACTGAACCAGAACTAAATCAGGACTAAACCAGGACTAGTTGTTTTTAGTGTTACCGTGACGACAAAACTCGGCTCTTGTGTCTGAAAGTTGTGAAAATCTTTTATAAACTCATCGTGGTGAATAATTAGGATGTTCTGAGACTTAAATTAGACACAAACTCGACTATTTCAAATTAAAATATTAAAAACTTTTATTTCTGTGTTTGTTTTTCAGGTAGCTCGGTTTTTAAGATGTTTTATTTCACTCCAAACTTCTTCCCCGTGAACTCCAGCGGCTGCTTCCACACATTGGTCTGTTTCTGCTCCTCTAATTACATCACTACCCACAATCCCCCTCTGCTCTACGACCTGACCCTCGACCCCTCCGAGTCCACGCCGCTGAGTCCGGGATCTGAACCGGACTATCACGACATCGTCCGGACCATGGAGCGGGCGGTGAGGGGGCATCGAGACTCGCTGCGGCCCAGAGACAATGAGATGTCTGCGGGGAAAATGCTGCCCAAGCCCTGGCTCCAACCCTGCTGCTCGTCCGTCACCCAACTCTGCCAGTGCGACAAGGACACATAGACCGGGTTTAGACCGGGTCTGGACCGGGTTTAGACTGGGTTTAGACTGGGGTTAAATTGGGTTTAGACCAGGATTAGGTCAGGTTTAGATCGGGTTTAGACTGGGGTTTAAACGGGGTTTAGACCGGATCTGGACCAGTGTTAGACTAGGTTTAGACCGGATCTGGACCAGGGTTAGACTAGGTTTAGACCGGATCTGGACCGGGGTTAGACTAGGTTTAGACAGGGCTTAGACTGAGTTTAGACCGGGGTTAGACCTGGTTTAGGCTGGGTTAGACCGGGGTTAGACCGGGGTCAGACCGGGGTTTAGACGGAGTTTAGACTGGCGTTAGACCGGGTTTAGACTGGGTTTAGACCGGGTCTGGACTGGGGCTAGACTGGGTTTAGACCTGGGTTAGATCGGGTTTAGACCTGGTTTAGACCAAGTTTAGACCAGGGTAAGACCGGGGTTTGACCAGGTTTAGACTGGGTTTAGACCGAGTTTAGACTGGGGTTAGACTAGGTCTGGGCCGGGGTTAGACCGGGTCTGGACTGGGGTTAGACCGGGTTTAGACTGGGTTTAGACCTGGCTTAGACTTGGTTCAGAACTAGTTTAGACCTGGTTTAATTCTAATTTAGACCTAGTTTAGACCTGGTTTAGACCTGGTTTTAGACCTAGTTTAGACCTGGTTTAGACCTGGTTTTAGACCTAGTTTAGACCTGGTTTAGACCTGGTTTTAGACCTAGTTTAGAACTGGTTTAGACCTGGTTTAGACCTGGTTTTAGACCTGGTTTAGACCTGGTTTTAGACCTAGTTTAGACCTGGTTTAGACCTGGTTTTAGACCTAGTTTAGACCTGGTTTAGACCTGGTTTTAGACCTAGTTTAGACCTGGTTTAGACCTGGTTTTAGACCTAGTTTAGACCTGGTTTAGACCTGGTTTAGACCTGGTTTTAGACCTGGTTTAGACCTGGTTTTAGACCTAGTTTAGACCTGGTTTAGACCTGGTTTTAGACCTAGTTTAGACCTGGTTTAGACCTGGTTTTAGACCTAGTTTAGACCTGGTTTTAGACCTGGTTTACCTGGTTTAGACCTGGTTTTAGACTTTTGACCTGGTTTAGACCTTTTTAGACCTAGTTTTGACCTGGTTTTAGACCTAGTTTTAGACCTGGTTTAGACCTGGTTTTTAGACCTAGTTTAGACCTGGTTTAGACCTGGTTTTAGACCTAGTTTTGACCTGGTTTAGACCTGGTTTTAGACCTAGTTTTGACCTGGTTTAGACCTGGTTTTAGACCTAGTTTTGACCTGGTTTAGACCTGTTTTTTGGAGTTTTGTCGGTATATTGTTATAGTTCTGCTCTGCTCCCGTCCGTCAAACTCACTCTGATAAGATCTTACTCCAACTCAAAGAAAAATGTTCAAAAACTCAATTTCATGGCAACTTTCATCTCCTCCTCATCTCTGTGTGAACAGAATCAAATATACACACAAAGGAACTAAACCAGGTCTAAACCAGGACTAAACCAGGTCTAAACCAGGACTAAACCAGGTCTAAACCAGGACTAGAACAAGGACTAAACCAGAATTAAACCAGGACTAGAAAAAGGACTCAACTATTATTAAAACAAGTATAGAACTAAGACTAAACCGGGTCTAAACTAGAACTGAACCAGGACTAGAACAAGGACTAAGCCTGGACTAAACCTGGGTCTAAACCAGGTCTAAACCCGGACCTCTCTCCTCTTTACATTCCTCTGGGCTCTGGTTGGTTTCTTTGAAGTTTTTAATATTTTCATTCTTGTGGGATTTTCAATTTGATTTCCTGCAGCGAAGAAACGTGAGCATTTTTCAGAATCTTCCCCCGAGGAAAACAAAATGGAGGGAAAAAAAGAAGAGGGAGAGAGGGGAGGGGGGGTAAGTGTTTTTGATACAAGAAAGATAGACCACAGTACAATTTTATTTTGCACACCAAGAATGAACCAGAACTAAACTCGGACTTATACATCAGTATTAAACCAGGGACTGAAATAGGATTTAACTTGGACCAAACGAACTTTACCAGGACTGTGTGAAGTGATCAGTTTTGCAAAAGTTTTATATTGTTGTCTATTTTTGTAAATAAAGATAATAAAAACTGTCAACGATTTTTAAAAAAGCCACTCTATGTTTGTTTCCTAAATTATTTTTTACTGAAGAATTTTAATTCCACAAAAAACATACACAACAAAAAATAAATAAACATGAACATTTAAAACAATATATATATTTTTTATTTTAATAATAAAACCTTTGAAATTCCCATATCTCTTAATTAAAACTCTGTAATGGTTTACAGGTCTAAACATAAATCTAAAACAAGGTCTTAAACAAGACCTAAATCAGATCTAAACCAGGTTTAAACTTTGATCTAGACTTAGATCTAAACCAGGTCTAAACCCAGATCTAAAAAGGTCTAAAGCAGGTCTAAGACAGGTCTAAACCTGGTCTAAACTAGGTCTAAATCAGGCCTAAACTAGACCTGAACTGAGATCTAAACTTCGATCTAAACCAGGACTAAACCCAGTACTAAACCAGGTCTAAACCAGGTCTAAACTAGGTCTAAACCTAGATCTAAACCAGGTCTAAACCAGGTCTAAACTAGGTCTAAACCTAGATCTAAACCTAGATCTAAACCAGGTCTAAACCAGGTCTAAACGTAGATCTAAACCTAGATCTAAACCAGGTCTAAACCCAGGTCTAAACCCAGGTCTAAAACCAGGTCAAAACCAGGTCTAAACTTAGATGTAAACATAGATCTAATCCAGGACTAAACCCAGGTCTAAACTTAGATCCAAACGTAGATCTAAATCAGGACTAAACCCAGTACTAACCCCAGGTCTAAACCCAGGTCTAAACCTGGGTCTAAACCAGGACTAAACCAGGTCTAAACCTGGGTCTAAACCAGGACTAAACCAGGTCTAACCCCGGTCTCGTCTGTGGTCAGCTGGGGCAGTTTTCTCTCTGCATAAATCTCAGTGCGTCGTTGAATCCTTCTCGATAAAACTCGTCCATCTGAGATTCGGTCGGAGGAAAAAAGGACTGGTTCAGACGTTTGAAGGTCTCCAGAGAAACCTGACGAAAAACAGAAATAAATAAAACAAAGTTTGAAAAAAGTGATGCAAGAAAAAAAAATAAAAAAACATGTGAGTTCAAAGTGAATGAGAGAGAGACAAGGACTAAACCAGGACTGAACCAGGACTAAACCAGGACTAAACTAGGACTAGTTCGTACCATAACCGTCATGTTGGCCAGGTGCAGGTGTCGTTGAGAGCGCCCCCTGTGGACGGGACACACATCGTGCAGTCCAGGGAACGGAGACACGGTGATGGTGCGACCGAAAGGAAGGACGGGCAAACTGTCTGAGAACCCTCCATCCACCCACGTCTGAGGACAGAGACCAGAACCAGGACTGAACCAGGACTGAACCAGGACTGAACCAGGACTGAACCAGGACTGAACCAGGACTAATTCAGACCAAAATGCCACAACATGTCTCAAGTTTGTGATTTAATTTTGTATTTTTTTAACATACAAGTTGTAATATAATTATGCTACTACTACTACTACTGCTACTACCACTACTACTACTACTACTACTGTTACTGTTACTGTTACTGCTACTATTACTACTGCTACTACTATAACTGTACTTACCTCTCCTCTGAATTCTAAAGGTTTGAGTCCAGCGTAAAATGGGATAAAAGAGCTCGCCATAAGAGCCTGAAGGAATAAAACAGGTTTTATCAGTGGGAGGGCATCTGACACAGGGACACAGGAGGATGGGAGGGCATCTGACTCACCTTGACGAGCTCTTCTCTGGAGTTGTACTTTGACACGATGTGGTTCTTTCCGGTTTTGGCGTGAGTGAGAGAAACATAGAGACGATCAGAGGCTTTGGTGTGAGCGTCAGAGGGAAGGATCCGGTCTATTCCCTCACTGCGAGACACAAACAACATGAACCAGGACTGAACTCAATTTTATATATATGTGTGTGTGTGTGTGTGTGTGTGTGTGTATGTGTGTGTGTGTGTGTGTGCGTGTGTGTGTGTGTGTGTGTGTGTGTGTGTGTGTGTGTGTGTGTGTGTGTGTGTGTGTGAGGGGTTGCACTCCCAGAAGGAACAATAGCAGATGTTGTTGTGCACAGTTACAAGAACCTTGGTTTCCCTCAAGAAAAGCTACTACGGCCAAATATCTGCAACGAGTGAGACAAGTCTTAAGAAGCAGATCAATGGCTTTAACAAGGCCCAGGCGATAAACAGCTCTGCCCTGTCAGTGATCAGAGTCCAGCAGGAATCATGCACTGGCCAAAGGAGGAGATACAGACCACAGATGTTAAGACATGAAAGCTCCTGACCTGCATGGAGGTTTCATCCCAAATCCAACATCCTGAGACTGTACGCGAGCTGGAAGGAAGGAGGTCAAGGACTAGTGAGTGTGGGAACCACTGTCCAGGATGAAACATCCAAGCTCCATGAGAACATCAAGGACAAGGCCCCGACAGATGAGGTGCTCAGAGAATGTCTCAGACAGTGGGGTCCAGAGGAAGAGGAGCTGGAGGGACCATCATGGTGAACCACCGGAACAGAACTGAAGTGGCTGATATCAGGAAATCCTACCAATGTCTTGAGAGGGTCTGAAGGACACACAGAGGCTCATCCTGGCTGCTCAGGAGCAGCCTTCAGGCCTTGAGCACTCGAGCAATAGAGGCTCAGATCTACCACACCAGACAAGACCCACGGTGTAGACTGTGCAAAGAGGCTCCTGAGACAGTCCAGCACAGAACTGCAGGTGGAAGATGCTACAGGGAAACAAACATGGAGCGACAAAACCAAGTGGCAGAGTGTACAGAAACATCTGTGCAGAGTACAAGCTGGAGACTCCAAAGTCAATGTGGGACACACCTCCAAAGGTTGTGGAGAATGACCGAGCCAAGATCCTGTGGGACTTCAGATACAGACTAACAGGATGGTGATGGACCAACCAGACATAGAGGAGGTGGATAAGAAACAGAGCAGAGCCGTGGTGGTGGAACATCACAACACCAAGAGATGGAAATATCAGAAGAAGGAACACGAAAAACTAGAGAAACACCAGGGGCTCAAGGAGGAGCTGGACAAGGCCTGGAAAGTGAAGGCATCAGTGACGCCCGTGGTGATCGGAGCACTCTGGGCCGTAACCCCCAAACTGGAAGAGACTACAACAGATCCCAGGAAAAACAACAGAACATCTCGGTCCAGAAAAGTGCAGTACTGTAACAACAAAGATACTGCACAGAACTCTCAAGCTCCCAGACCTAAATCAATATTTCCTCAGATATTAGGCCCAGTACCTGATTTGTTCATGTATTTGTATAAAGAAGTGGACAAAGTGAGTGTGACATCGCCCACAGTCTTCAGCTCCAGTCAAATGAAGCTCATCGAGGCCTGCACTTATAGGAGGGAATTTGGAGCTGAGTTTCATGGTGAGTATAATGGCAACCAAATATACACAGTCTATGGTCTTGCCTCCAGAGCATTTTATTGTCTGAGAATCAGGAAGTGTACGTTAGCATGCTAGTTGTTGTTCGCTTTACTGTGTGGTCTCGGAAAGTTGTGAAAACTCATCTTTGTGAATTATTCGGACGCTCTGAATGCAGAAGGTCAGTGAGGAATAACTTTGGACTTGTTTTTCTAGTTTTTTTCAGTGATGATAATTCTAAATAACGGACTAAAGCCCTATTCTGGGACATTTCCGGGGTGTCTTTGGTCCACTTGAGCTCTTCATTTGGTAATAAAACAGAATGATGTAATAAACTTGTCTAATCTGGCTCTTGTTTATGGCTCGAGGTAATTATTAAACTGTGCATTTTATGAACTGAACAAACACAAGGACTCAGTGAAGGTCAAAGCTGCTTTAAGTCTTCTACACAAACATCCCCGTTTGTCCAGGACTAAACCAGGGCTGAACCAGGACTAAACCAGGTCTAAACCAGGACTAAAACAGGATTAAACCAGGACTCAACCAGGGCTGGACCAGGACTAAACCAGGACTAAACCAGGTCAAAACCAGGTCTAAACCAGGACTAAAACAGGATTAAACCAGGACTCAACCAGGGCTGGACCAGGACTAAACCAGGACTAAACCAGGTCTAAACCAGGTCTAAACCAGGTCTAAACCAGGACTAAAACAGGATTAAACCAGGACTCAACCAGGGCTGGACCAGGACTAAACAAGGACTAAAATAGTTCTAAACCAGGACTAAAACAGGGTTAAACTAGGACTAAAACAGGGCTAAAACAGGACTAAACCAGGACTAAAAACAGGACTAAACCAGGGCTAAACCAGTACTAAAAGAGGGCTGAAACAGGACTAAAACAGGGTTAAACTAGGACTAAAACAGGGCTAAACCAGGTCTAAACAAGGACTAAAACAAGACTAAACCACGGATAAACCAGGATTAAAACAGGACTAAAACAGGTCTAAACCGGGACTAAACCAGAACTAAAACAGGGCTAAACCAGGATTAAACAAGGACTAAAACAGGACAAAACCAGGGCTAAACCAGGACTAAAACAGAACTAAAGAAGGCTGGACTTTAGTGGGGACTAAACTAGTGTTAATGCAGGATTTAAGACACAGTAGAACTTTATATGTCAAAATAATATTGCTTAATGTTTCGTATAATGTTTTTTATTCAGCTTTTACTGTCTTCATGAAGTGATTTCGTATCATAAACCAGTACTGAAGACTGGGCTAAAGTTTAAACCAACACTGAAGTAAACAGGACTGAAGTGTAATCAAACCAAGACTGCAAACAGAACTAAAGCAGCACTAAACCAGGGAATATAGCTCCATCAACTCTGGCTCCAATTCACTCATTATTGAAAAATCGCCCCCCCCTCTCTCTACCTGCTGCTGTGAGACTTTTTTGGTCTTAAATGTTCGTATTAACGCGCTCTACGTGATTCTGTCTTTACTCCCGCTCGCACTAGCAGCAGGTTTGACTGACAGCGTTGCGAACATAGAACTATAATAAAATCTGGAAGAGGAATCCAAGATGGCGTTGTATTGTTTTCAGAGGCCAGTGCTTATTGGCACATTATTTCCTGAATACTGGCTTGGCCTTGCACCGCAAACCCTGTGACGTCAGAAACATGCAGTTCTGACCAATCAGAGCGAGAGCGGCTAGAGCGGGGTGTTGTGGAGAAAAATATGTATCTCTTGATGATAAATAATTAATCTATTTACGAAGCCCGGGGAGTTTTTAGAATACAGACAAAGGTTTATTCTTCTTGTTACGGCAGATATGGACACAGCCGAGGCCTGCCCTGCCTGGAGCCCAACAGCCTCTCCTCTCCAGCAGTGTGTCCCCACCACATCTGCCCAAGTCTCTCCCCTCGAACCTCTCCTCTCTGAGTCTCTGCCCCAGAGCATTTGAGCTCTGAATATTTCTACAGAAATACAAGTCACATACATATGAAAGCAGAGTGACTGGTTTTACAGGTTGTGCTAATCAACTTACATCCGGGGACAGCTAAGAGAACACACAGTTTTCTGAGGGTGGAGACAGTTGTGTCTGCTGAGCCTTTACACATATTAATGACTCGTGTAGGTCTCAGGTAGAAATCACATTAATTTACACAAAGACAGACTGAAAGAAATCTTTCCACAATATACATTTCCATCACAGGGGTTAGGCTAACTCTTACAAAGCTGACTTTTAGGCGCTTTGACAGTTTAAAAATGTATAAGTCACATTGTAAGAATACAGAAGAATCCCTACAAATTCTGACCTTTGTAAAAGCTGTCAATGCCCTGTCAGCTGAACACGGACAGTTGCATTCCCAAAAATGCTTTTTTGCTCTATGGGAGAATTCTTCCTGGGCCCGAACTCCCGGGAGCTGCAGTACCTGGAGCAGCCACTAATCTCGCTCATGAACAGAGGGGGTGTGTCTTATCCAGTTATCAGTGCTTATTAATTATAGATCCATGGGTGCTAAGCTGGAAAAACAGCCAAACCAGTGGTCCTAATATCGAACTCGGCTCCAAATTCGTCGCTGTAACTTTGAGCTGGAGCCACACTCCCTTAGTCCACATCGTTACACAGTCTATGATACAGACCAGTTAACGATTATTCAGTTACTTAAATAGATTACTATTTAAATCGATAATACATGATATATTATAATAAACTTGTTGCAATTAATCATTACACTTGCTGTAGCCCTAATATTTACCGAAGTGTTTCCATAAAGTTGAATCCAGGAGTGTACGGCCCTAGAGGCTGTTTCCTCACACTGCGGGCGAACGAGTGTACAAAGTCTCTGCCCGCCTGAAAAACAGAATTACATGAGATTTTAAAGGTGCACTATGTCATTTTTCCAGTGGATAAATACAGCATGAGAAAACCATCTGTGTATTTACTTTTGGAGAGATTTGTTTTTAAATTCCCAGAGAATGAATCACTATTAAAACACATTACTTTTTTACCTCTAGTTTCTGGGGAGCAGTGATGACGAGAGCGGCCGCCAGAGCTCCAGCAGAGGCCCCAGCGCACGCCGCGGGACAAGCCCCGGGAGAGGCCGCGATTCTGGGGCAATGTCGGAGGAACGCCCCCGCGGCTCCGAGGTGGTAGATCCCCAAGAAACCACTGGCCGCGAAGGACAGGTTCAACACAGACATCACTGCGTTCAGATGAAAGAAGGTTACACATGCAAAGATCTGATATTATAATGGTAAAATAATGTGCCTTTTGAGAACAAAAATGTCCCTGTGTGTCAGATGCCCTCCCTGTGTTTCCATGGAGGTTTATTCTGTGTAAAAGCTGCTCAGCCTGTAATTTAGACTTTAGTTTAGACTTCTGCATATATGTTTTCTTAAGTCCTGGTTTAGAACTGGGCAAGTCCTGGTCTAGACCTGATTTGAACTGATGGACCTGGTTCATAGTGTTTGATTGGACACAGTTTAGACCGGCTCCGATCAACATGACCAAACACACACGAATAAACTCTGTGCACAAAGTCACAGCAGGTGAAAGAACCAGACCAAACCAGGACTGAACCAGGACTGAACCAGGACTAAACCAGGACTGAACTAGGAATGAACCAGGACTAAACCAGGGCTAAACCAAAACAAAACCAGGACTCAACCAGGACTAAACTAGGACTAAATTAGGAGTAAACCAGGGCTAAAGCAGGACTAAATTAGGACTGAACAAGGTCTAAACCAGGACTAAAGCAGGTCAAAAGCAGGACTGTTTAATACCTGGTTTAGTCCTGGTCTTAGTCCTTGTTTAGACCTGTACAAATGCACATGGATTCTATTTTCTATTTTATTCTACTTGATTAAAATGATTAGTTCATTAACATTTCTTTATCATTACTATTTATTTTTCTTTTTATGTGTCCTTACGTTGATATTAATTTTATGTGGGAAAAAACAAAAAACAAAACCAGAACAAACAAAAAAACTATACTTATGTGCAGAAAAAAGCACTGAAAAAGTTGCTAATTAAAAAATAAGTTAAAAATATAATAGAATCTTAAAATTATTTCCTATTTATTCATTGACAACAGTAAATCTGTTTGCAGATGATCAAAACAACTTAATTACACATTGCAGGGTAATTATAGACTTTATAAAGAAGAATCTAAATAGTCAAATCTGTGTAATAAAGTGTGGTTACACGTTTATGTTTACGTTTGCAAGTGTCACGATGGTTATAAATGTGTAATTATAGCATTAAGCGACATGTGTAGTGCACTTAGAAGTAATAACTGATTAAGTTTTAACCAAACCCGACACAAATAATTAATGTGGACTTACCGGAGGCTTTTTTAACGTCTTTGTCATAAGATACGCTTTAGTTTCATGTTTATTCTTTAGAGTGAAATGTTAAAATCTTGTACCATCGCGTGTTTCGCGTTATATTAGAGTAAAAATGGTGTAAAAACGGTGTTATAAGCGCTGAAAGTCTCCATGCGCTGTCTTTGTTTACATCTGTCAGACCGACCGGAAACAACCACCACCGACACTTCCTGCGGACTCCTTCACAATAAAAGAGACAACAATCTTATAATTTTTTAAATCTTCTTTATTACGGAAACAAAGGCAAAATTATGTTTACTCATTGTGAATGTAATTTCTAAAGCAGCATACATCAAGAAATTCTCTATAAAATAATACTGTATTAATAATTTAAGTAACTGATATTAGAGGCCAATTTATCATTTGAATCAGAAAAATCAACAAAGAATTTTTATACTATATTAATAAATATAATTTATATCCTATTTCTGGCTCTTCCCTCTGGTCTCTGGTCTTTGCTCCATCACAATAAAAGTGTCTTGTTCTCTTTATCTCTCCCTCTCTCTCTCTCTCTCTCTCTCTCTCTCTCTCTCTGGTCGTGGCTCCTTCACAATAAAAGCCTCTCTGTAGTTCCTGCTCCTTCATAATAAAATCCTCTCTAATGTCCCTGCTCCTTCGCATTAAAAGCCTCTCTGTGCTCCCAGCTCCTTCATAATAAAAGCCTCCTTGTGGCGTCTGCTCTTTAACAATAAAAGCCTCTATATGGTCCCTTCTCTTCCACATTAAAAGCCTTTTTTCTGGCCTTTGCTCCTTCACAATAAAAGCCTCTCTCTGGTCCCAGCTCCTTCACATTAAAATCCTGTGTCTGGTCCCTACTCCTTCATAAAAAAAAGCCTCTTTCTGGTCCCTGCTCTTTCATAATAAAAGCCTGTGTGTGGTCCCTGCTCTTTCATAATAAAAGCCTGTGTGTGGTCCCTGCTCTTTCATAATAAAAGCCTGTGTGTGGTCCCTGGGGTGCTGTGTGAAGTCGCTCTCTCAGCACTTGTTTTAGCCCACGGCCCGTTTGTTTGTCCCTCGTCAGCACAACTCTCTCCTCCAGAGTTTGAGAACAATTCAGAGAGAAGAGTTCAGAAGTGTGTCACAGTTTAGTCCTGGTTTAGTCCTGGTTTGGTCCTGGTTTAGTCCTGGTTTAGTCCTTGTTTAGTCCTGGTTTAGTGTTGGTTTAATCCTGGTTTAGTCCTTAATTGGTCCTGATTTAGTCCTTGTTTTGTTCTGGTTTTAGTCCTTGTTTGGTCCTGGTTTAGTCTTTGTTTGGTCCTGGTTTTAGACCTTGTTCAGTCCTGGTTTAGTCCTGGTTTAGTTCTAGTTTGGTTAGATTTTAGTCTTGGTTTATATTAGTATTTTGAATGTTACTAGTAGTTGCACTAATATTAGTACTAGTAGTAGTAGTAGTAGTAGTAGTAGATGTAGTAGTAGTAGTAGTAGTAGTAGTAGTAGTAGTAGTAGTAGTAGTACTTTATTTCCTCATCCTCATTCCTCTCACTCTCTCCTTTCTTCTCACTTTAGTGCTTCTTCTCTAAAGGACAAACGATTTAAGAACGGAAGATTGGATCCTGAGAAACTGAGAAAGACCAGAGAGGAAGAGAGGAGGAGGAAGAGAGAGGGAGAGAGAGAAAGAGGAGGAGAAGAAGAGGGAGAAGAGGAGGAGGGGAGAGAGGAAGACCAGAGGAGAGGAGAGAGAGAGAGAGAGGGGGGGAAAATAGTGGGAGGGAGAGAGAGAGAGGATAGAGCAGAAGAAGAGCGAAAGGGAGAGAAAGAGAGGAAGAGGAGAGTGAGCAAGAGAGAGGGAGAGGGAGAGAGAAAGAGAGAGGGAGAAAGAGAGAGAGAGAGAAGGAGAGAAAGAGAGAGAGAGGAGAGAGAGAGAAAGAGAGAGGGAGAAGAGAGAGAGAGAGAGAGAAAGAGAGAGGGAGAGGAGAGAGAGAGAGAGAGAGAGAGAGAAAGAGAGAGGGGAGAGGAGAGAGAGAGAGAGAGAGAGAAAGAGAGAGGGAGAGAGAGGAGAGGAGAAGAGAGAGAGAGAGAGAGAGAGAGAGAGAGAAAGAGAGAGGGAGAGGAGAGAGAGAGAGAGAAAGAGAGAGGGAGAGGAGAGAGAGAGAGAGAGAGAGAAAGAGAGAGGGAGAGGAGAGAGTGGGAAAGAGAGAGGGAGAGGGGAGAGAGAGAGAAAGAGAGGAAGAGAGAGAGAAAGAGGAAGAAAAGAAAGAGAAAGAGAGAGGAAGAGGAAGAAGAGAAAGAGAGGGGAAGAGGAGAGAGAGAGAGAAAGAGAGAGGGAGAGAGAGAAAGGAGAGGGAGGAAGAGGAGAGAGGGAGAGATAAAGAGAACAAGAGAGAGGGAGATGAGCGAGAGGAAGAGGACAGAAAGAGGGGAAGATTAGAGAAAGGGGGAGGGAGAGGAAGAGGAAGAGAAGAGAAAGAAAGAGGGAGAGAAGCGAAAGAGAGGAAGAGGAGACGTTTAAGATTCTAGCAGCGGAGGAGAAAAAGACCGAAACTCATCACAGGAGAGTTCAGAGGAGGAAGAGGAAGGAGGGAAGTTTAGAGAGTGAAACATACAGATTCTACAGCAAGAAAGTCCTGGTTTAGTCCTGGTTTAGTCCTGGTTTAGTCCTGGTTTAGTCCTGGTTCAGTCCTGTTCTTTTGTAGATCTGGTTCTTGGGTTAAACTGAGTGAATTTCCTCTTCTGGTTTTTGTATTTTCTTGGACAAAGGTGAAGTGTTGAAATCTGAGGAAATGTTTTTGAGATGAAAAAGAAACAGAGAAGAAAATGTAGAGAGTTTTTTCAGATAAAGGCCAAAAATAAACAAAGAAATAAACCAAGAAGTGGACCAAAGCTAAACCAGGACTGAACCAGGACTAAATCAGGACAAAACCAGGACTAAACTATAAAAGACCAAGATCTAACCAAAGTCTGAAATATATATATATGCAGACCCTTTTAGTCCTGGTTGAGTTCTGTTTCAGTCCTCGTTCATTCCTGGTTGAGTCTGAGATTTAGTCCTGTTTTAGACCTGGTTTAGTCCTGGATTGGTCTCAGATTTAGACCTGCTTTAGTCTCAGATTTAGACCTGGTTTAGTCCTGGTTTAGTCTCAAATTTAGACCTGGTTTAGTCTCAGATTTAGACCTGGTTTAGTCTCAGATTTAGACCTGGTTTAGTCCTGGTTTAGTCTCAAATTTAGACCTGGTTTAGTCCTGGTTTGGGCTCAGATTTAATCTCAGATTTAGACCTGGTTTAGTCTCAGATTTAGACCTGGTTGAGTCCTGTTTTAGACCCAGTTTAGTCCTGTTTTAGACCTGGTTTAGACCTGTTTTATTCCTGGTTTAGTCCTGTTTTAGACCTGGTTTAGACCTAGTTTAGACCTGGTTTAGACCCGGTTTAGACCTGTTTTAGTCCTGGTTTGGACCTAGTTTAGTCTTGTTTTAGACCTGGTTTAGTCCTGGTTTAGTCTTGTTTTAGACCTGGTTTAGTCCTGGTTTGGACCTAGTTTAGCCTTGTTTTAGACCTGGTTTAGTCCTGGTTTAGTCTTGTTTTAGTCCTTGTTTTATTTCCTCATCACATCTGTACATTTGTATCGTCTCGTTTCAAAATGGCGTCCTTCTTTTTCAGATAAATCCTTGGAGAGAGAGTCATTTTTAGCTCCGGTCTGAAGGAGCAGTCTCACATTTGGAGGTCAGATTCACGGAGCGATCGGAAAAAAAAAAAAACGTTTGGGGAAAAGGGCACCGGAAAAACTGCCGGCTGGAATTACAAAATGATACAACTTTATCTCCAAAAATAGGACGGACAAAAGCGAGGAGGATAGTGTTGCCATAGCGATTGACAATTTAAAGGTCCCATATTACACAAAACTGACTCGGTTTTCTCATCACAAACAGACCTGGAGTTGTGTTTTTGTTTTGTTTCATTCACACATGTTTGACTTTTATCCTTTTATTATTGGTCTGTTTACATCTCCAAAGTTCAAAATGCCCTGTTCCACCTTGTGATGTCATCTAGTGGTAATATTTTATCTTTTTTATTTATTTATTTTTTTAACTCAGAATGATACAGAATCGTGTTATTAACGTTAATGCTGTTCATAATCATCTACAAGATCATAAATCAGGACCAGGACTGAACCAGGACTGAACCAGGACTGAACTAGGACTAAAACAGGACTGAACCAGGACTAAAACAGGACTAAAACAGGACTAACACAGGACTAAACCAGGACTGAATCAGGACTAAACCAGGACTAAACCAGGACTAAACCAGGACTAAAACAGGACTAAAACAGGACTGAACCAGGACTAAAACAGGACTGAAACAGGACTAAAACAGGTCTAAAACAAGGACTAAAACAGGGCTGAACCAGGACTAAAACAGGACTGAACCAGGACTGAATCAGGACTAAACCGGGACTAAAACAGGACTAAAACAGAAGTGAAACAGGACTAAAACAGGACTGAACCAGGACTAAACCAGGACTGAAAACAGGACTGAAACCAGGACTAAACCAGGACTAAACCAGGACTAAAACAGGACTAAAACAAGGACTAAAACAGGACTGAACCAGGACTAAAACAGGACTGAAACAGGTCTAAAACAAGGACTAAAACAGGGCTGAACCAGGACTAAAACAGGACTGAAACAGGTCTAAAACAGGTCTAAAACAGGACTAAAACAGGGCTGAACCAGGACTAAAACAGGACTGAACCAGGACTAAAACAGGACTGAACCAGGACTAAAACAGGTCTAAAACAGGACTAAAACAGAACTAAACCAGGACTCATCCAGGTCTAAACCAGGACTAATCTTGGACTTGAAAGCCCGAGCCCACAGAGCAGGGTTTCCCCAAAGCATGATCGGGCAATGGCTGTGCTTAGTCCTGTTTTAGTCCTGTTTTAGTCCTGTTTTAGTCCTGTTTTAGTCCTGTTTAGTCCTGTTTAGTCCTGGTTTAGTCCTGGTCCCCTCATGAGTTTATACAGATTGTTTTCATGATTTCCAATGGCTCTGGTTTAACATTTAAGTTACAGTTATTTTATATTTGTTATTTTTTAAGTGGTGTGAGGTGTACTTAAAAACACAGTGGAGCACTTCCTGTATCACCTCATGACATCACAAGGTGGAGCAGAGTGTTTTTTCAGTTTGAGAGAAGAACTCAGCCTAAA